TGGCCTGCCCAAATGTTCAGGGGACAATGTCAGAGTGTAATTTTGATCATGGCCATTTCAAGGCATTTGAAGTGGGATTTGTTGCTGGGTTGGGCCACCATGAACTTGCACGTTCACCTCATGAGGCCTGGCCTCAGAGATGACAGTATTCAGCCTCAAGAGGAGCCTGCAGTTCGCCCACAGTCTTCCCAGTATATCCCTTCCATGGGGATACAAGACAGTAAGGAGCTAAACAGAACGCACTGTCTGAATGGGGAACCTGCATGCTGGGGTTCTTTTGTGCCTGAGCCCCCTCCTTCTATGGACAGACCTGTGAGTATTACATGCACAATGACAGCTGTAGGTGTGAGCCCCATGACACCCGGCTGTCCAAGAAGTGTTTCCTGTGTAAATGCTGACATGGACAGCTCCGCTGCTTGCCCCAGGCATTTCTACCTGGGTGTGATGGCCTTGTGATGGACAAGCAGCTCAAGGACCAGGACTCCAGAACTACCACTGTCTGCATGCACCACTTTTATGCTGGCATCTACCTTTCTATACAAAGTTGCTATTAATCAACATTTACCTTTTTCTGCAAATACAAGTTTAGATATCATGCAAATTTCATGACCAGTAAAGGCTGCTGCTCCAATATTCTGACTGAAAGATATCGTTTGTTAGTTGCCTTAAAATAATGAACACCTTTCCATAAAAGTCTCTAACACTTCCTTACAGTACCAACTACTTCTTACCTCTGCCCTGCCCTCCCCTGAGAAATTACTTAAAAAAAAAAAAAAAAAAAAAGAGGCCAGGTGCGGTCGCTCACACCTATAATCCCAGCATTTTGGGAGACCGAGGCAGGTGGATCACCTGAGGTCAGGACTTCAGGACCAGCCTGGCTAACACAGTGAAAGCCCATCTCTACTAAAAATACAAAATTAGCCGGGTGTGGTGGCAGGTGCCTGTAGTCCCAACTACTTGGGAGACTGAGCCAGGAGAATCGCTTGAACCTGGGAGGCAGAGGTTGCAGTGAGCTGAGATCGTACCACTGCACTCCAGCCTGGGTGACAGAGTGAGACCATCTCAAAAAAAAAAAAAAAAAAAGGAAAAAGAAAGAAAGTCAGTCATATCTACATCATGTCTGAGTCTAGTGTTTCTTGATATATGTAATTCTACCAAGGTCTTCTAACAATTCTTTTAAGCAATTGAATTATATCTTCAGATTATTAAAGGCTAATCCTAATGTGGAACTGAGGATAAAGTTTGAGTAGAGTTGATCAAAGTCAACTAATATCATCTCTTTTTAAAGGAAGGAGCCAGAAGTGCTGAGGTAAGGCAAGTTCATCTGCATGACGAGACTGGATAGGAAAGAGGAAGCACGTGGGAGAAATAGATTGGAAAAGACAAAGTGGATCACCTGATTCATGATTATGTGGGTGTAGAGAAGCAAGTTACAAGGTTAATTGACGGGCAAGTTTCTATCATCTGTAGAAAGTTACCTAAGACAGGACTTCCCTTTTTGCTCAAGGCATTGTAAAATAAAATGAAGTCTTCTTGGAAAAAATTTTACCTCAATTTTCCCAATGAGACTACTTAAAAACTTATGTTTCTTCCAAAGAATGTAATTATTTTAACTGTTGTAGAAGAGAGAAAATGTGCACAATATTTAGCTGTAACTAGGTGATAAAAACTATATATTGTAAACCCCTTTTAAAATTATTATTATTATTTTTTGAGACGGAGTCTCACTCTGTCACCAGGCTGGAGTGCAGTGGTGCAATCTCGGCTCACTGTAACCTCCTCCTTCCAGGTTCAAGCCATTCCCCTGCCTCAGCCTCCAAGCAGCTGGGACTACAGTCGTGCACCACTACGCCCATCTAATTTTTTGTATTTTAGTAGAGACAGGGTTTCACCATGTTGGCCAGGATGTTCTTGATCTCCTGACCTCATTATCTGCCTGCCTTGGCCTCCCAAAGTGCTGGGATTACAGGCATGAGCCACCGCACCAGGCATAAAACCCTTTTTTTAAAAAAAAAATTATGTATATGAATATGTACAGTAAAAATGGGAAATACATTGAGAAAAAGGTAGAAAGACTGAACAAAACTAAAAAGAACCATTTTTAACATTGAAAACCATTTTTGATAAATGGTGAAATTTCTCAAAATCTCCCCCCATGAGGTACATAGGAAGTTCAAGGAACCAGATGTTTCCCAGAGCTTGCTAACAAACTCCTTCGTGCAGCAGGGAAGGCATGTCTCTCAACGTGACGCTCTCAGGAGGCAGGGGTGAGACAGAGGAGGGATGGGAGCTGTTCTTGGTGGAGAGCCATATGACTCTCCCTGCACACGGTGACACTGGTGCACTTCTTCCTAGAAGGGGACTGAGACTCGGGGGCTGCCAGCCGAGCCCGGAAAGGCTCGAGTCCATTGTTCATTTCATCAAGTTGTGGTAGTAAACAGCTGGGTTTCCTCAAACGCTGGCCACAGTTTATTGTATACTTATGTTGGAAGTCCCTGAATGCGTACTCTTCACATGTTGGTAAATGGAATTTTATTTCACCAAAATTGCTCAACGCTTCCATCGCCCGCATGTTAAGAAAACTTGCAGAAGCAGAACAAAAACTGAGAAAGGGAAAGGAGGATGGTTGAGAGGTGGGAGGATACACATTTTCCCAGAATAGTAGGATGGAATTGAATTGTAACAAACGCTTTGGTAGAAAATCATAGTGTCTTCCCCACCACAATCCCTAAAAAGAGCAGCAACTGCCAGGAAAGGGAGGAGAAAGATGGAATAGGCTATAAATTAATCAGCAAAGAGAATAAAGCAAACTACCAACCAGTTTCAAGCAGGTGAAATGTATATTCTTGTTCTTCTGAGTAACTGTACAATCTGTATACTAGAATCTCTCACTGCAGAACCAGGAGCAGCTGTGAAAAGTCCTTGGTGAAGCCAGTTTCCTTCCAGCCTATCCCTCAGGCCCAGCAGGGATGAATTTTCCCACCAGGTCATTCCACTCTGTCCTTTCAGGTGGTGGCAGGAACCCTGATAAGGTTCTGGATGGAAGCTGCTTTCCATCCTGGATATTTATATTTTAACAGAAACTCATGATGAAAAGTCTTCAAGACTTAAAAGCATAAGTCACTAATTGTGTAATTTGGGGTATAAGGAAAGTAGTAGGAGTTTTTTTCATCATCTCTTGATTGCAAAAATAGCCCCCATCTTTATAGGGCCAACCCTCAGTATCTCTATTTTGCAAAGGAGGGTAAGTCCAAGACATCATAAAAGACAAGTTTATGTGCCATCATGCTTGGTCCAACTGGTCTGTCTCACTTTAAATGACCCAGTAGGTCTTCAAAATAAAAATTTAGAGAACACAGAGAAACTACCTTGAAAGAAAAAATTTCACAGATTAGAGAAAAAAAACCTTCTAGAATTTTCACATTGTGTAACAAATTATATGCCTTATTCTACCTTCATGGGTATACCATAGGTACTTTTGATTTTCAGCTCAAAAAAGCGTAGCTACTTTAAAGAAAAAAAACAGAAACAGAATTTTTTAAAAGCTGATAAACATAATACACCAGTGGCTCCCAAGGAAAAAGCTTTCAAACAAAATAGTCCCTTTTGGTGGGAACTGTAGAAGAGGGGAGCTGTCGCTATGAAATGATGGAACTAATCCAGAACAATGTACATTTTTATACTGACGAGTTTAATCAGATGCTCAGAAACACTCACTCGAAAATCAAACTCTCATCATCATCCCTGGAAGCATTTCTTAGAACTTTCTCCTTGCACACAAGTTTTTGCTTTCAGAAACAGCAGATAAAACCCAAAATGAGACAAATAGCAGACAGAGGAGATGAACGCTACAGGTGCTGAAAGGGAATGAGAGCCCAGAGGTCACATCTCTCAAAACCCCGCTCTGCCAGGGCCTCTTCCCTGGCACATAACCCACGCAACAAGTGCCGGGTGACCTTCACCTTACTCCTGCGCCACCAAAACCAAAAGAAACAACTCAAAGAGAGAGAAGGGATACGTGCTAAAGCTTTAATTCTCGTTTAAAGCAAGCAAAGCATCTAAGTGTAAATTTAAACAATGGAAAAACAAATCCATTTACCTCCTGCCAAAACATTCATCATTAATGAGAAGATGCTCTATGCTTCCTAATCCATCACCAGGGAAAACCACTGTTCACTGTGGTCTGTAACCAACCTTCCTGTCATAGACAAACACGCATTTGTTTTTATAAAATAGGGATTTCTTTTGTATTTTTATATCTCACTTTTTTTTTTCTTTTGAGACGAAGTCTAACTCTGTCACCCAGGCTGGAATGCAATGATGTGGTCTCAGCTCACTGCAACCTCTGCCCGCGGGTTCAAGCGATTCTCCCACCTCAGCCTCCCGAGTAGCTGGGACTATAGGCGTGTGCCACCACACCCAGCTAATTTTTGTATTTTAGTAGAGACGGGGTTTCACTATGTTAGACAGGCTGGTCTCTAACTCCTGACCTAGTGATCTGCCTGCCTCGGCCTCCCAAAGTGCTGGGATTACAGGCGTGAGCCACCGTGCCCGGCCTATATCCCACTTTTTAAACACCCAGTGTTATTGTACTCATCTTATGAATCTTTGAAACAATTTTGTTTCTTCCTTTTTCTTTTCTTTTTTTTTTTTTTTTTTTTTTGAGACAGGGTCTCACTCCTCACTCTGTCACCCAGGCAGGACTGCAGTGGCATTATCATGGCTCACTGCAGCCTCCATCTCCCAGGCCCAAGTGATCCTCCTGCCCCAGCCTTGAGTAGCTGAGACTAACGGCAGGTGCCACCACACCTGGCTAATTTTTGTATTATTTGTAGAGACATGATTATGTTGCCCAGGCTTGTCTCAAATTCCTGGGCTCAAGTAATCCTCCCACCTTAGCCTCCCAAAGTGCTGTTATTACAAGCATGAGCTACTGTGCCCAGCCCTGAAACAATTTCAGTGTTGCATAATATTAAAGAAAAGAACCTATCACCATTTATTTTACCATTTTCCTATGGGACATTTAGGTTGCTTCTCGTGTAAATTTATATTTATTTATGTAATTAATTGATGAACATTCATCTGCTTCACAAGATTGTAAAGCCTTGTGTTTGTTTTCAGTCACCAATATTTCTCTTTCCATAGCAAAACTGAAAACATGCCAGTTGATGATAGTGTCTGGTGAATGAGGGATTGAATCTACACTTTAATTTTTGCCTGTCATCAGCCTCATCCACAAAACAGTTCTGATTCTCACCTCAGCCATACATAGTTGTCTCTCTCTCCTAAAATTCCCCTGTAGTTCTTTTCTGTGTGTGTGCCTCCCTCATAGAGGAAAGATACAGAGCACGATTATGTGCCAGGCCCTGTGCCAGTCATATTCAAGGAGAAAGTGCCTGAAGGGTGGTATCACAGCCTGAAGGACAGGCAAAAAAAAAAAAACCTGCCACAACATGTTCAATCAAGGACCCTTCCAGAATGCTCCAGTGTCCCCACTAAGCAGTCTGGCTCTGGAAAAAGCTCCAGAGTCCCATCTGAAATGAGATCTCCGTCCCCTCTGGGGATTGTCTGAGAGGACAGAAGCCTGGAGTGCACAGCAGCTCAGGGCGTCTGTCACAGCGGCTGAGCCCTGGGCAGGGAGACGCGAGGCAGCTGCTGAGGGTGGGGGCGCCGGAGTGAGTTCCACACAGCTCTGACTTTCACGGAGGGTGTCAGCAGAACTGTGTGATGTATCTACAAGGAGAAGAAAAGGAGAGTGAGAAGCCATTAGCCGGTTCTGGAGAAAGAGAGGAGAAAGTAGTATTGCGTTGTTAACAGACTGTACTTATTCTCAGATGTAACTAACTGTCCAAAATAAAGACATCATTACACATAAAAATTGCAAGGCAGAAATAGATGTGTGAATGTTCACTCACTCAAGTGCACAGAAGTCTCTATTTTCCTCCCTCTTAAATGACACTTTTAAAACTCATGGATTTCTCTGATTTATTTGTTTTTATTTTTATTTTTTTGAGATGGAAGTCTCGCTCTATTGTCCAGGCTGGAGTGCAGCCTCCGCCTCCTAGGTTCAAGCAGTTCTCCTGCCTCAGCCTCCCTAGCAGCTGAGATCACAGGCGTACGCTACCACGCTTGGTTAATTTTTGTATTTTTAGTAGAGATGGGGTTTTGCCATGATGGCCAGGCTGGTTTCAAACTCCTGACCTCAAGTGATCCACCCACCTTGGCCTCCCAAAGTGCTGGGATTACAGTCGTGAGCCACTGTGCCCGGCTGTTTCTCTGATTTTTAAACCTCACATATGGGAGGTACTGAAATCCACAAGGTTTGAACACCAAGAGTTCATTGAAAATAATATTTGTTTTCCTCCACACCACAAATTGTGATTATCCTCCAGTTTGTGTGTGTGTGTGTCTTAACACATGGTGAGAAAGTAACGAGCAGGCATCAAGTTAATTTTGACTAAGGATTCCAGGAACAGCTACTTCACTTCCTAAGGACAGTCAATGCATGAGGGATGTGGGAGGAAGGGAGGAGGGGATGGTAGCTGGAAGGTCCCACATTTAACCAGATTTGATTTTAGAGACAACAAAACCTTTCAAAAGTTAAATAACTATGTGATAGATTTTCTATATGGATGCAAAATAATTCTAGGATATGAGCTAAACACACAAGAAACCTACCAAAAGGAGATGAAGTAGGTTCCACAAAGCTTAGTGTTTTTGTCCTTCCCTCCAGCTGCCTCTAGCTTGTGTCGATCTCTCAGAAGACGGGGTCTTCAGGGAGCCCCAGACCTGTTAGATGAGCCAGGCAGTGTCCGTGCCCCTGGAGCACTGGTAAGGCATTTCCCAAGGTGCATCCAATTTCCCCAGATGCACAGTTGAAAAGCTGCCCAAACCTTCTAGAAACCTGTGGACTTTTCCCCTTTTCAGCTTCACAATGGACATTTGCATCTCTGAACAAAGATTACCCTGGGACCTATTTATCTAGTGGCAAGCACCTTGTGTCCTACAGAACATCTTCTGGAAAGCACCATGTTTGTGCATCTGAAATCTTCTTAATCAGGGTCTGTGTTTCAGGCAACCCAGTAAGGTAAGTGAAGCGTGCTTTCTGCCTCTGTTGGTCCCCAACAGCCTGGAACTTATTTCCTCTGCCCTACCTTTCCAGGTAAATAAGTACTGTTTTTTCATCCCAGCACTTTAGGAGGCCGAGGCGGCTGGATCACCTGAGGTCAGGAGTTTGAGACCAGCCTGACCAACATGGTAAAACTCCATCTCCACTAAAAATACAAAAAAAACCAAAAAAAATTTGCTAGGTATGGTGGTGCATGCCTGTAATCCCAGTTGCTGGGGAGGCTGAGGCAGGAGAATCGCTTGAATTTGGGAGGCAGAGGTTGCAGTGAGCTGAGATTGCACCATTGAACCCAGGAGGCGGAGGTTGCAGTGAGCTGCAATCACACCATTGCACTGCAGCCTGGACAATAAGAGCGAAAATCTGTCTTCAAAAAAAAAAAGAAAGAAAAAAAAGTGCTATTTTTACCACCCGCTCAGCCCTGTGCTCACTGCTGAAATGCACTTTTGCTGACTTTCTCAGTGCCAGGTCTCTGAAAATCTGCCTATCCTCTTCCTTGGCCCGCTAACTTCCACCATCCAGCCATTCAGTTATCACTCCCTGTAGGAACCTAACTTCCCTCCTCACACTAAATTAAGTGGCCCCTCTGTACTTATCTCCACCATTCAACAAAGAAAACACAGAGCTACTGCTTCATCACTTGCATGGATGCTAGGCATGGAAAGGTGCTGAATAAATACTTGGGACTAAATCTCCGAATACACACGTGTGCTTGCTCCTCGAGGACAAGTATTCCATTTTACTTATCTAGCTCTAGCACCATGCAAGTGTACAGGAGCTGCCCAATAAACACAATTGCTGGACAAATACTTGTTGAACATATTATAGACACAGCCAGCTCCTACCATCTCCTCTGGAGTCAAAACATTCATTGCTTCAGTAAGTTAATTTATACATCCATCTTCTCCTGCCCTCAAACATCAATGTGCCTAGTTCTTAGTCCTTCAGACTTCGGAACTTACACCTACTCCGTCCCCCCTGCCCTGAACCCTGGCCAGCTCTCAGGCCTTTGGCCTTGCTCTGGAAGTTACACCATTGGCTCCCTGGTTCTCAGGCCTTTGGATGAGAACTGAATTACAGTGCTGGCTTTCCTGGTTCTCCAGAGTGCACACAGCAGAAAGTGGGACTTCTCGGCCTCTGTAATTGTATGAACCAGTTCCCATAATAAATTTTCTCTATCTATCTGTCCGTCTGTCTATCTATCTATCTATCTATCTATCTATCTATCTATCTATCTATCTATCTATCCATCTATCCATCCATCCATCCCAGTGGTTCTGTTTCTCCAGGGAACCCTGACTAATACAGTACCCATTTCTGTAGCTCCCTGAAGTTCTATCCAGTAAAAGGCAGGGACTCAGTGACCAGAACATAGAGAATGACTCCCAGGCTGCACACGGCCGCCAAAGGGCCGTTGTACTTTTGGTCCCCGAAGAGTTGTGAAGCCGTATAAGGGGGCCTGCCACAGAGGGTATCTAGCTTGCACCAGAGAAGCACTCATCCCTGAAGCCAACGTCAGCAACCTTGACATTCAGGTCAGCACCCAAAAGCAGGTCTCTGGTTTTAGTTCGCTTCTGGTGGCAGTGCTGCACAGCAGATGCTATCTGGTGGAATTTGCCTTGGGACACTCTCTTTCATCTGGTCGTGGTCCGGTAAGTACAGAAGACCTCTCCTCCACTAGCGTTCGCCACGACCAGGTGATGTTTTCTTGGGCACCTCCCATAGTTTCCCTATGTTGGGGTGATTCAAGGCTTTCATACTCTGGACTTTGAGGGGCCATCTCTGGAGGCTGGAGAAGCTCTGCTGACTCGTGTTAGTGGCCTTCACAGCCACTCTGGTCCCAGTCAGGATGTGCTGGCCAATGTCACCCTGGCAAAGCTGCCTTGGCCAATGATCTAGAGATGTTGAAATTCTCTAACAATGGCTCCTTATGAGATCATAGTAAGATATGGGCCAATCATGACTGGGGATAATCCACAGTGATTTTCTCACTTTTTCATCTCAAGAAGGCTTTACTCTCTTAAAAGAAAGGAGGTGGGACCCCAAAGGGCTTATTTTAATGAGTACTATAAAAATCAATATTTACCTTATTAGAAATTTAACCTGAGGGATGCTTCAGTGCCTTTCTATTTCTAGTCTGAAAAACTATAATATTTGGCTTTTAAACAGCTCATAATGTCTACACTTAAAATAATTTAACTCTTTTTTCTTTAAACTCTGAATGACTGGTCTCAAATGATGCCAGACCTTTCCTGGCATCATGACACTGTAATGAAAATGTTCCCTTTGCTTAAGACACAATAAGGTACCTTGTTAACATCTATAGAGCTGAGGAGAAGATAGCTTTTACCATATTTTCATTTTATTTTTTAGTAGAGCTGGCATCTCACTATGCTCCTAAGCTGGTCTCAAACTCCTGAACTCAAGTGATCCTCCCACCTAGGCCTTCCTAAGTTCTGGGATTACAGGTGTGAGCCACCACGTCTGGCCCCGTTTCTTATTTACAGGCTTGCCAGGTCATTTGCACTACATTCCTCCCTTTCATGAGTCAGAGAACTCACTATGTCCACTGCAGTTCTTTACACATAGAGTTTCCAGCTATGAGTCAAGAAAACAAGTTTATTTCCTTTTTAAGCCAAATATTCAGCATTTTTCATATTCATATTATGCAGCATAGATGGAGATCTGAGTGCTGAACATGGCACCAGGACCTCAGGGGAGGGAATGAGGAAGCCCTTCATTTATTCCTTCTCTAAGTCTCTCTCTCCTTTTTTTTTTTTTTTTTTTTTGACAGTCTCACTCTGTCACCCAGGCTGGAGTACAGTGGCGCGATCTCAGCTAACTGCAACCTCCACCTCCTGGGTTCAAGTGATTCTCTTGCCTCATCCTCCTAAGTAGCTGGGATTACAAACATGCATGACCACATCTGGCTAATTTTTATATTTTTAGTAGAGACGGGGTTTCATCATGTTGGCCAGGCTGGTCTCGAACTCCTGACCTCAGGTGATCCGCCTGCCTCTGCCTCCCAAAGTGCTGGGATACAGGTATGAGCCACTGTGCCTGGCTTCTAAGTCTCTTTTTTGATGAAGTTTCAATTTTTTGACCTATAGCATCTTCCTTCTCTCTAAATAACTTTTAGTATTTCTTGGCAGGCAGATCTACTGGTGATAAATTTCCTCAATTTTTGTCTGAGAAAGTCTTTATTTCTCCTTTACTTTTAAAAAATTGATGTAAAATAATCATATAATAATTGTACATATTTATGGGATACACAGTGATGTTTCAATGCATATAATGCGTAATGAGCAAATCAAGATAATTAGCATATTCATCATATCGACCTCCTTCACTTTTAAGGGATAATTTTACTGGATACAGAATTCTAAGTTGGTGAGTTTTTTCTTGCTTGCTTGTATGGTTTTTGAAGAGAAGTCTCATGTAGTTTTTATCCTTGTCCTTTTACAGATAAGGTGTTTTATTTCCTCTGGGTTCTTTCAAGGTTTTCTCTTTGATTTTCCTGTAGTGTGACTATGATATATGTAAGTGCATATAACCTGCTCAGTGTTCTCTGTTTCCTGGATCCTTCGTTTGGTGTCTATCATTAATTTTAGAAAATTATCAGCCATTATTACTTCAAATATTTCTTCTCTTCCCTTCTTTCTTCCCCTTTTGGTATTCCCACTATGCATGTCTTTTTAAACTCTCCCACAGTTTTTGCATATTCTGTTCTATGGCTTTCATTCTTTTTTCTCTTTGTTTTCAGTTTGAGAAGTTTCTATTGAGGTATCTTCAAGCTTATTGATTTTTTTCCTCAGCCATTTTCCAGCTACTGACGAACCCATCAAAGGCATTTTAAAATTTCTGTTAGAGTGTTTTTGACTTGTAGCATTTCCTTTTGATCTTTTCTTGAGTTTTCGTAACAGCACAATGGGTTCATCTTGCTCACTCCCCAGAAAGCCAAGATCAGTGAGAACAACAGGTATTGCAGAAGTAAGAGTTTAATTATTGCAGAGCCAGCCAGACAAGGACAGGGAGAGGTATCTCAAATCAGTCCCTCCAAGAATTTGGAGACGAGGGGTTTTTTTAATGGTACTTTGCCAGGCAGGGGGCTGGGAAACTGCAACATTGAGGAAATCGCAGAATTGTTTAGAACTGTCTTTATCCAGCAGGGAGGGAGACTCAGGATCAGGTAGGTGGCAGCTCTTGGTCCACCAAAGTGCTAAATCTGAAAAATGTCTTGAAGACCAGTTCCCCTTCAGTTTCACAACAGCTATGTTATCTGTAGGAGTAGTTGGGAAATTTATAAATCTTGCAACCCTGGGTTCCATGACTCTGGGTCAGATGCAACTTATGGAAAAACAAGCTGAATGATGACTGGTCACCGTTTAACTCTGCCTCTTCTTTAGCAAAATTCAACACCCTACAAAGAATGCTAACTTTGTCTTATGAATGTGGCTTCGGCCTCCAAACAAGGAGATGGGTAGTTTTCCTTTCCTCAGAGTTGAGCTATAAACAAAATTCCTCTCATAGTTATCTTGGCCTCTATAATAGATGAAGCAAAAAACCAATTTAGCCCGTGAGGCTAGAAACAAGATGGAGTTAGTCATGTTACATTTCTCTCCTTATAATTCTGCAAAGGCAGTTTCATTTTCTTCTCTCTGCTTACATTACCCATCTGTTCTTTCATATGATCCACTTTTTCCACTAGAGCCCTTAGCCTATTATTCACAGTTACTTTAAATTTCTGGTCTGGTAATTCTGGTCTGATAATTCCAGAATCTCAGCCATAACTGAGTCTGGCTCTGATGCTTGTTCGTCTCTTCAAGCTGTGTTGTTTCACCTGTTTGTGTGTCATCATTTTTTGTTGAATGCTAGATATGACTGGGTAAAAAGAACTGAGGCAAGTATGCCTTTAGTGTGAAGCTGCTTCTCTGGCTGGGAGTTAAGCTGTCTACAGTTTGCTCTCGCTCTAGGTGTTAGAGGCTAAAATCTCCTCTGATCCTCTTCTGTTGTCTTTGGGTTTTCCCGGAGACTTCTAAGGTCTAAAATTTGCATTTCTGTCTGCTGTACTCTCGTGTTGCAAGAGCCCTATTCATGTGGTGCTGAGGTGTGGAGGGCAGGGAAGTGTTCTGTAGACCTACGATTAGGTCTCAATGTTGCAGAGCCTGTGCCTTGGGCTGCTTCTCAGCCAACCAGTACCCTTCTCTATCCCTGCTTAGGTGAGACAGGACGGCTAGAAGGGGCTGGAGTTGACTGTTTCCCATCCCGTGGGTCTGCCAGGCTGTGGAAAACCATAAGGCAGTTAGCCTCCAAGATACAGCTTCCCTTGAGGGAGGGATTTTGCTAAGACACAATCTCCTGGATGTATTGTACAATGGTTACTTTTTCCCTTCCCTGTGGACATCAGGAGAGAGCCTTTCTCTGGTGTTCTCTCTGAGCACCTGGTGGGGGCTCCCCTGGAGTTAGGCTTATGAAAGTGTGGGCCCCCTATAAGGGACCTTCTTAATGTCGACATTTCAAGCTCGTGTACACTGAGCTTCCAGCAATTTGGCAATTGTCGTTTAGTTTTTCTTTCCCTGGTCCTGGCTCCAGTGGCCTCTGCTCCTGGTAAGCTATGATTAGCTGTATTCACCTGCTTCTCCAAAAAGGTAGTGGTTTGCCCTGTGACCTCAATTATCTGATAAACCTAAAAAAAAGTTGATTTTTAGTTTGTTCAGCTTTTTTCTTGTGAGGACAGGAGTGACAAGTTCCAAGCTGAAAACCAGAAGTCTCATCTGGATTCTTTTCAAGATTTTTTTTCCTATTACAAATAATGATGACATGCACATCTGAAACCAGCCCCATTGGTCCATAGAACTAATACGTGTGGATTTTTGAATAAACATAGAAATTCATCCTCCCTGATCTTAAAATTTCAAACTTATATTTGTCCCATCTGAGTTCCTTCCTCAGGAAACTGACCCTCAGACAAGGAACTGAAACTCCTCAGATGACCGCATCCAGACAATGAGATGCCAGACTCCTCGTCCATCATGATTGCTTCCTTACCCCTTCCTAATGCCTCTTTTCCTGCCTTCCTCACTATATAAAACCCCCAATTTTAGTTGGTCAAGGAGACAGATTTGAGACTAACTTATTTTTCTTCTTGCTGTAGCACTCAGTTGACACCTCCTTCCCTGGCAATACTCTTCTCAGTGATTGACTTTCTGTGCTGTCAGAAGCAGGCCCTAGACCAAACCCCAGATGCTCCATAACAATTATTGTACATGTCTTTTCTGATGCATACATTTCTGTTACCCCAGGAGTAAAATACATAGGTCCTGAATATGCTAATTTTAAAATCTAATAGCTGACACCGCACACAATATACTACCTTCAGCACTAAATAAGAGTTACTGCTCCATATCCTCACCAACACTTAAAATTCTCAGTCTTTTTTATTTAGTTATCCTGGAGGATGTGTGGTGGTATTCCATTTGTTTTTTTGTTTTTATGTTTGTTTGTTTTTCTGAGACAAGAGTTTTGCTCTGTCACCTAGGCTGGAGTGCAGTGGCGTGATCTTGGCTCACTGCAACCTCTACCTTCCAGGTTCGAGCGATTCTCATGCCTCAGCCTCCCCATGTAGCTGGGATTACAGGTGCCTGCCACCACACCCAGCTAGTTTTTGTATTTTCAGTAGAGACAGGGTTTTGCCATGTTGGCCAGGCTGGTCTTGAACTGCTGACCTCAAGTGATCTTCCCGCCTTGGCCTCCTGAAATGTTGGGATTACAGGCAGGAGCCACTGCACCTGGCCTCGTTGATTTTAATTTGGTATCTTTTCACTTTTTCATCAGATATTTTTTTCTTGCTGATTCATAGCGTTCTTTGCATATTCTGGATGTAAGCCCTTTGTCAGTTACATGTGTCGTATCTACTCCCACTCTGTTACTTACCTCTTCACTTTCTTAGTGGTGTCTTCTGATAAAAAGGAATTCTGTTTTCTTCTAACTTTTATTTTAGGTTCAGGGGTACACGTGCAGGTTTGTTACATTAGGTAAATTCGTGTCATGGGGGGTTGTTGTGCAGATTATTTTGTCACCCAGGTATTAAGCTTAGTACCCATTAATTATTTTTCCTGATCTTCTCCCTTCTCCCACCCTCCACCCTCTGAGGTCCCAGTGTCTTTTGCTCCCCTCTTTGTGTGCATATGCTCTCATCGTTTAGCTCCCACTTATAAGTGAGAACATGAAGTATTTGATTTTCTGTCCTGCATTAGTTTGCTAAGGATAATGATCTCCAGCTCCATTCATGTTCCTGCAAAAGACATGATCTAGTTCTATTTTTATGGCTACATAGTATTCCATGGTGGATATGCACCACATTTTCTTTATCCAGTCTACCATTGATGGGTTAGGTTGATTCCATGTCTTTGCTATTGTGA